AGTGGGTTATACTGTCAAATGCTAACAAACTTGAAAAAAAAAAAAAAACCTCACATCTGAAAGACATCGGAGAAGAAAATTATTAGGTGTCGTTTGTAACACTAGGTTAAAAATTAATAAAGCGATTTTAAGATGATAATCACTCTTAGTAGCTAAATTAATTTATAAATATAATTTTTTTGCCTTTTTTTTGTTTAGTCTCTTCATTGTCAAAATTCAGTTAAGTCAAAAAAGTAATCACTTCCACTTGTATGGTAGCTTCTACCATCAATTTCACCTTTATGGTCTGGTATACCTGCGGTGTTTGTTTAACACACTTTGCAGGTCAAACTTTGAATCTATATAAAAGCAGCTTACATATAATTATTTTAATTATGAAAATCTCAGTTCTGTGGGTACATTTGTTTTGCTTTTATTCAGTCAGTTCAAAATTCTGGGCCCATAACAGCAGACAACGCCCTTGTACATTTTGGCAAATACCCTAGCTCTGTAGACACACATTACTTATCTCTGACAGAGGTAAAACTCTTAGATGGAACTCTCTCTGCATAATCCAGTATTCAGAAGTAAATATCTGTGCTGGACTTCAGAAGGGAAAATTAAAGCAACGGTACGAAGTGTGAAAGACCTGGTGAAATGTAGGGTATGTCGGGTGATGATTAGTAATCCTGTATGTTGATCAGGATATAAATATTACACGGACATAATGGCAGGTAAAAAAAATGGCAACAAAACAGCAGCAACTGTATAGTCCAAGACAACTTAAAAGAGGAAAATTGATGCTTGCCACTTAACTGTAGTACATAAGAACATAAGAATGACTTTGGTCAGACCAAAGGTCCATCCAGCCCAGTATCCTGTCTGCCGACAGTGAGCAATGCCAGGTGTCCCAGAGGGAGTGAACTGAACAGCGATCAAGCGATCTCTCTCCTGCCATCCACCTCCATCCTCTGACAAACAGAAGCTAGGGACACCATTCCTTACCCGCACGTACTGGCTAATAGCCATTAATGGACTTATCCATGAATTTATCTGGTTCTCTTTTAAACACAGTTATAGTCCTAGCCTTCACAACCTCCTCAGGCAAGGAGTTCCACAGATTGACTATGCGCTGTGTGGAGAAGAACTTCCTCTTACATGTGATGAGTAAGTTAAAATGTCCTAAGAACAAATTATTTAAAGCAAGACAACACAATCTAGAGGTAAATATTTTTATTACATATATATAGGCAAGCATTCACTTTGGTTTACACATCTGCAGTTGCTTTTGTTTTGAGTAATCTGAAGTAAAGTTTCAGGTATGGTTTTTGATCTATAAGAAACCAATTAGGCCCTGATTCTAAATTATTTAAAGAAAAGATAAACCAATGGAAATGTTCCCATTGATTTCAACTCACCATAAATGACCAGAGAGGCTACTACCTGAGTCTGGCCCTCTTCCCTTGCCATGCTTCTAAAGTTGTGACCAACTGAAGCATTCAAGCTCCAGGTCCCTTGATACTAAAAGAAGAGGGTTTGCTACCAAGATTTTGTTCAAGAGATCCAGGACTTCGGAAAACACTTCCCTTTTTGGTCCAAAATAGCCCAAAGCTGTTGTCTCAAAGGAAAAGCGTGAAAGACAATCTCTTTCCGTATGTTCTTGTGGTTGGAAAGGTGTAAGGAACATATAAGAAAGGATTATGTTTGTTTTCTTCAATGGATAATTTTTATTTTCCATTTGACTGTTCTTTCATCATCATTTTGGAGGGGCTGCCAGATTTACACTGGTTGGTACTGATTCATATACAAGAGCATTTTTAACATATGGCTATTACTTAAATCTAAATCTGCTTTCGTTACAAACTGGTTCATTAAATAATTAAGGGTTTAGCAAGTCAATGGTACTTGACTGAAATATGCCCTGAGCAGAGGTTCACAATTATGGGCTTGTCTTCATAGAGACATAGGTCCACACTGTCAATTGGATTCAGGTTTGTAGCCACCTAGGTCCCATTTTAAAATGCAATTTAGGCCTTCAATTCAGGTCATCCTTGCAACACAGCAATGCCAAATTACCTTTAAAAATCTGGGCCTTTGTGCATGGCACATTAGGGTGTTTCCCATTTCAAAATAGCAATAATGGCAAAGTACACCATGGAACTTTTACAGAACAGTAGCAGGGTCCATATGGCCAGTTAGCATGTGGCAAATAAGTGTGACAGATTCACACCCCAACTTGCTGTGTACAAAGTCTCCATGTAGACAAGTCTCTGCTGTTGCGCTCAGACATATTATATTGTTACTAGTTTAAATGTCTGAAACATTGTTCCACAGTTTCTGGGACTGAGGGAAGAACTTACAAAAAAAAGTACAGTAACATCCTAAGACCTCTTTCCTGGAGTATGATGAGATGCAAATCTAGTTCAGCATGTGGTTGTTCTTAACATATTCATTAGGACTGTGCCTTGAAAAATTTATAGCCAATGGCACTTGATAAACTGCCAGCTATCTAATGAAGGCTTTTCTTTTCAGAGTGCTTCCCTGTCAGCCTGTTCTCACTTTTCTGTTTTCAATGTGGATATGATGCACAGGAATGCAAACATAGCATGTTCTTGGTAAGTTCATTGTGATGTACGAGATGGCATATGCCTGCATTTGCTCATTTTCATTATAAATATATGAAAAAAAACCAAAACCTCAATCAGACCAACCACCTCCAAACTGATAAACCAGGAGAGGTAAAAAATAAGGGTTGAGGGCAGCATCTGGACCACCAAGCCACCACATCTGACCCATGGACAGTGGGAGCCTCAGCCAACCTCCCTGACTGCCCCACTCCCACACACCATTGAGAAAAGCTTGCTGCGGGAACACGTGCATCTCTAAATGCTGCAAACATGGGGAAAAGGGCCTCTGCCCCCAGCACAAACTCGCAGTTCCCATTGGCCAATTTATGGCCAATCAGAGCTGCCTGTTTGAAGAACAGATAGCATGCAAAGTGCTTCCCCTCCCCCCTGTCTCAGGCTCGCAGCCTTCAGAGAACCACACGTCCCCTTCAGCTGGCTGCTCTGAGCAGCTGGTGGGGGCATGAAAAGCAGGGAGCCTGACTGAAGAACCTGCTTGGCTCCTGGCTGGAAGTTGTCTAGGTAAGCCTCTATCACCAGGGCCAGACTCTGGCACCCCAGTCCCTTCCTCCCCCAACCCTCTGGTTCCCCACTTCACATATCCCATAACCCTCTGCACCCCCGCTCCTGGACCCATACCCCCTCCCAGAACCTGCACCCCAATCTCCTGGGCCAAGTCAAAATCGAAACCTCTGTACTCTCTTCATGTACCCCAGTCCACTGCCCCAGCTCACAACCCCCTCCTTCACACAAATTCCATCTCAGACCCCACTCCCCCTCTTCCACACCAATCCCTTATTTCAACTTCTGTTCTGCATCCAACCTCTATCCCAGACCCCCACCTCCTCCATTAATATAATGGAAAAGTGTGGCCCTTGGCTACTTACCAAATTCTTGGAGTGGCTCCCCCATCAAAAATAATTGCCCACCCAAGATAGCGGCGAGGAGTCCTGTGGCACCTTATAGACTAACTGAAGATGCCACAGGACTCCTCACAGCTTTTGCAGATTCAGACTAACATGGCTACCCCTCTGATACTTGACACCCGAGATAGATACACGAAAATAGCCCACAGCAAGTTGTTAAGATACATCCCTAACTAAACAAAGCTACTATTGACCCTTCTTTGGTAAACATTGGTCTCCTTCTCTAGCCTTTTTTTCCCATACTGCTTTCAAAGGCACTAAAGGTCATTCATGTATACATAAAGAGTTCAATCCTGCAAAGCCTTAAATACATGAGTACTCCATATTCACTGAAGCCATCGCATGGAAGTCAATGGAACATATCCTACACTGAAGTAAACTGTTATATCATTGAAATCATTGAGAGTTAAATGCCGAGATACTCTTGAAAATCCTGCTAGGCTTCCATCTGTGTCTTAAGGAATCTCATTACCCTTCAATATCTAGCCCTAGATGAATGAATTAATGAATCTGGCAGAACATAGCAACCTTGTCTTTGAATCTCTTCTCTTTCTCCTTGAATATTTGTATGTATGAATAGTTAGTTCAATTATTCAAATACACAGATGAACAGGAACTAGAGAGTCATTTGCTGTGCACAACAGCAATGCACACTAGTTTTGGAGCTGGAATGCCCTCCATGCTTTCAACACAGATCTCCAGACTTATGGGTTGCAGGGAGGGGAAACTGAACCTTGGACTCCTGGTTCTACAAGCATGTGCCTCCACCAACTGAGCTAAGAAATCCAGCTCTGCTAGCCACGGGTATACCTCTGCATATGGTCCAATCACTAGCAAGAGGATGACAACACAGAACTATGTGATTGTGGGTTACATTCACAGTATCATCATCTTCTGCTAAAGAACCCACAGGTCTTTAAGTTCATTCATAGCCTACCTAAGGCTCTCAGACCAACAAAGCTTGGGGGCTTTTTTGGCTCTCTTTTAAAATAATTTCTTCTATGACTCTATTCATCTATGAAGTGTTATGAATACCTGGGCCAAGACAAAAGGTGTAATTGGCAAACACACCATACAGAAAACATATCCACTCCCTTCCATATTTTCCCATCAAAAATGCCCTCACAATATGATCACTAGCACAGTCGGTGTAGTTAGATACACAGAAGTAATCAAGCAGAAATTTCATGAAATAATTGATTAAAAAGATAAAAAGAAATTTTGCACCCAGGATAGCACATTCTATTTGCCTGAGCCCATGTGTTAAAAATGGAACAGACATTTCCAATCGGACCTAACATGCTTTTACTGTTGACCACACTGCAGTTTTGCCAATTCTTATTTTATTGTGATTCTTGCAATATTTGGTGTTCTCCTTAGCTATAAGTCAGGCAAAACCCTGTTTGTATTTTACAAGATCCATATTGTATGGAATTGCTTCATCTACAGGATTTCTATAAGAGCTACTCACCTCTTGTGCAAATGATTCTGCTTTCTTCCGTAGATTCTTTTCCAACTCAAAGTTCTCCTGGAGTTCTTCATATTCTTCCACTGCCAGTACAGACACTATTTAAAAAACCAAAACAAAAGGACAAAATGAATTTTTAAAAGGCTAGGAAAAAAATGAACAAAAACACAGTTTGTTTTATAAGAACATAACGGCCGTACTGGGTCAGACCCAAGGTCCATCTAACCCAGTATCCTGTCTTCTAACAGTGACCAATTCCAGATGCCACAGAAGGAATGAACAGAAACAGGTAAACATCAAGTGATGCCCCGCCTGTTTTCCATTTCCAGCCCACGACAAACATAGGCTAGGGACACTATTCCTACACATTAATGCTAAAAGCCTACTGGACAAGGCATAGGCCAAGACTGCTCAGTATATTTTGAGTCCTTACAAAAAATATAAAACAGTTCTATGGGTTGATATTTCTGCATTCATTTTCAACCACTTGTGTTACTCTGACTTTGGTTTGCCCTCGATTTCTTCCCCAAAAAGTTCCTTCGTATACCATTGAACCATTAGATACTGAACTTTATAACACGGAACCATTAGGTACTGCATTATTTTCTTATGGTCCTAAACTGTTGTATAGTGTTGCTACGGACAGTTATATAGCTAAATTCCACACAACGAGTGCTACCTTTCAATGGCAGATGAAATGACACACACAATTTACTTACATTTTATGCACATCTGTGTGTGTTCACAGTAGGGTTGTCAGCATGTATCCATTTACATGGATTAACCGATAAGCCCAAATTTATCGATTAATCTTAATGGTTACATGCACCACCTTCCCTTGCTGCCTTTGTATTAGGGAGGTGAGAGCTGGTGCTCATGGGAAGCTGTTTTTTAAGCTGGCTCTCCGCACAGTCTGGCTCCGGAAGCCACCTCCGACAGAGGCAGCAGTGGAGGCATAAAGGGGGCGAGGAGACAGGAGCCAATGCTCGCAGGGAGCCAGCTTAAAACCCGGCTTAAAAGCCAGTTCTCACCTGCCCCTCTGCATGAAAATGTGTAACCACTAAAAATTTCAGTGGTTACACATTTCCCCAAATACATGATTTTTAACATCCCTAGAACACAGGTGCACAAATGCTCCCCATGCATGCATATGCACCCTATGCGTTGTAATGTTGGGAAAGTACTTTGGGATGTTTCTTGTTATATAAACAATAAAAAGGTCATTATTTCTATTATTTGTCTCACGTACTGCCAATGAAATAGGTCATGGTGTGAAGCTGACTTCGTACCATAGTGAATTCTATAAATTAACTGTTCCAATTTCCAAAAATAATTCTTCAAGTGTTAAGGCCTACTTAGTATGCTGTCCCTTAACACCATCCATCCAGCCATGCTTTTATAATGGCACCCATCTTTGTAGCTAGTTGAAAACAAATCCATGACAGGCTACAGGCTTAAATTTAATTCCTATTTTCCATGAGGCTATTAGGCTGATTTTTTTCTGAGCTTCTGTTTTGTTTTTTTTCCCCCTCTCCACTCTCCCTCTTTCTCTGGTAACAATGCTGCAGTATTTCTAGACAGAGATTGTCATTTCATTGTTGCATGCCAGCGAGCAGAGGATAAGCTGAGGCTCCGCCCATTTCCCCACTCACTTATTACTGAAGGAATAAGCAAGTGCACAGTATCTACTTACTTTGTCATACTTGGACTCAAATAACCCGGTAACGAGCACAGGGCCCCTATTTCCCCACGTCAGCATGCACCACAATCTAGCCCTATAAGCATAATACACAATCCATAAAAGATTGTTGCGCATTTGGTAAAGCAGCGTGTATTTCCAGAAAACTGACATTAGTGGCTCTGTATCAAAGAGTCACTTTACATCAGAGACCAATAAGATTGCCACAAAAAAGTATTATCAGTACAGTTGAATGCAATATGTTAAAACAATGGTCATGCAAATGAGACTGATATTGCAGGCTAAAAAATTAGCCATAGTGAAGTCAGGCAGTGTGCAAGCTTCCTCATATTGTTCTGCCCATCCACCTCAATCCTGACCTGCGGGTAATATCAATAAACTCTTTAAAAAAAAAGTCTCTTAATGACTACTTGCACACATTGTTCTCTCAATGCACTTCAGTTCTAACTGACTAAGGACTAGTTTCCAAGAGTAATGACATACAATTTCTAACGCCACCCTCAGTAAATCCCCTGCCTCTATGGAGACAAGCTTAACTGTGTCTAAAGCAAAGCACTGTCAGTGGTACTTTGTGACGTGGATTATAGGCTGCTAAAATCCAACTGATTTTCAAATTACACAAAAAGGAAAATTCTTAAACAAAACAATGAGAAAAACTTAAGATAATTCACCATTCCTGGCCAAAATAATGTATTGATTTACCTCTACAGAACTCTGCAACAGAGTTGTACAGTATTCAAAAGCTAACAGGAATATAGTACATTACAACTAGCAAATCAGTAATCTGTAGCACTTTGCTAGCTCACTCAAAGTACAGAGGGATCAGTCTATGATAAAGTAATTTTGTCTGCCTACGTATCCTATCTTAAAGGTAGAAGGGCATTTCTACTGTATATACTCAAAGATATCGCTGAGCTAGGCTTTGGGCTGTTAGTAGCCTACTCCATTAGATACTCTGAGTACAAACTTCAAATATGGGAAGACGGATTGTCCTTTTGCTCAAGCACAGGAAGAAATTTCAACAAAACATTGTAGAAGGTTTTAAGAAGAGCTATTGCTTTCATCCATTCCAACACACCAGCAAATACTTCCTAGGTACTGTGCATCATGCCGCTATTTTAGGGTACACCCACAAGGCAAACACACAAGGGCACAGACTATGCTGATCCTATGTACATCTTCCTATGATGTCATACATTTTCTGGAATCCTAGCTACTTGGGAGACCACATCCATGTACCAGTATGACACATGCCATCTGATAAACTTAATAGTCTCTTCATGATGTAACGGTCCAGAGTTGGTTGGAGAATATTCTGTGAGACGACCATGGCCTTTGAAACTTACTGTGCCCTTTGGTCGGTAATAGCCTGAATTGGAAGATTTTGGGAGGATATTGCAGGATCTACTTACTTGTTTTCCCATAGGAGTTGGTGGAGAATGATTGTGAGGAAATGAGTTAGAGAAGACTTAAAACAGGAAATGCTCTATCAGTGGGGGGAGATCGATCGCTCTAGCTCTCTGGATGCAACCCCTTAGGTGTGCCATTTTGAATGAAAAACTCTCATGCATATGAAATTGTAGATATTTAAAATTAAGTATTTACGTAAAAAGGAAGGTTGGTCCTTGTGGTTAAGATAACAGACTAGGCCTCAGGAGACCTGGGTTTAATTTCCACCTCTGCCACAGACTCCCTGTGAAACTCTGGGTAATGTCATTTAATTCTCTTTGTGCCTTGGTTCCTCATCACTACCAAACTCCACCTGCCTTGACTATTTAAAGAATGGACTTTTTTAGAAAAGGGACTGTCTCCTACTGTGTATTTACAGGGGGTGGGGAACGTTTTTTGGGACAGGGGCCACTGACCTACAGAAAAGCCAAATGGAGGGGGGAAGGGACGCACACTAGTGAGAAGTTAAGTAACAAAAAACCCGAAACCCCTCACTGATGTGGCCCCCGTCTGAGGATAAAGACACTCCCCGCATTCCCCTCCCACACCAGAGCCTGTCGGGGCCCAGCCTAGTAGATTGTGTGCTCAGGGCCTGTGGTGGGGCAGTGAGGGGCTAGTGTGCCAGCACGGGCTCCCCACTGCTGGAGATGTCTCTGAACCTCAGGGGCCAGATTTAGGCAAGCCGGGGACCGCATCCAGCCCCTAGGCATGAGGTTCTCCTGGTTTACACAGTACCTAGCCCAAAATGGCCCCAATGTCACTTCAGTCACTACAGAGATAAATTACAAGACAAATTAAGAAAAAGCTCTGCTGATTATCTGGAGATAAAAGATGCTTAAGGTAGGGAGATGGAGAAAAACAATATTAAGAACACTCACCTCGGTTACATTTTTCCAGTAGTTTTCTCTGCTCATGAACTTCTGCTGTAAGAACAGCTTTTTCTTCCTTTATTTTATTTCCCTAAAAGGAGTATAAATAAAACACAGATTAATAATAAAATAGTGAGAATCTATTTAATAGCATAATATATTATTGCATCTTACGTAACATGCTAAAATTTACTTTTAATAGTTAATTTCTGATTTGAGAACATACTTTCAGGTTCAAGCTGTAATTTTCAAAGGGGTTAAAAGGAGTTCCCCACCTCACATTATATTTCCCTCCTTCGTAGCACAACAAGGTTGATGAACCCTCCGATTAGGCAGTATTCAATTAACTTCACAACTGACTGTTTTCAACCAACACACTACATACAGAAAGTACTGAATACACACTAATGGCTTCACTTCCCACACTACAATACATACTTCTTCAATTACTTCTACAAGTTTGCGCCTCAGGTTTTCCAGTTCAACAGTTATGGTCTTCTTTTGCTCCTGATCAGATATAATTTGATCTCGCAGCTCTATATTTTCAAGAGGGAAAAAAATATTTTTCATCTTATGCTTGGTTGGGGCGGGGAAGAAATCCAACAATTAGGTGGCTAAGGCTGAGCATGAAACACTAGGCTACAAAGACAAAATATCAGTCACAGTACACAGCATAATAGACAGGCAAACGTGTGCTTCTCCTCAGTGTCATATAACAGATCTGCAAGGTGGCTACAGTTTCAGATTTGCTCTACCAAGGTAAACTCCCTCATCCTGTTCTTTTGTCTTCTCTTTTTTTGCATTCTGCAGTAAACTCTCTTTGCAAGGCAATATTCTACTATGGGTCCAATGCTGACAATTGCTGAAGACCTTCTGTGCTCTCAGAAGATGCTCAACATCTCACAAGATGAGGCCATGTGGCAATAGAAAAATAAATTTTATAGGATCCCTGTAAAACAAATTAATGCACTTTAATTCCTTTCAGATCATGATCTCTTGTCACAATAAGATATAAACAAACAACAGGCACTTAATACTTTGGGAGGTTTTCTGTGAAAAAATTCTCCTGAATAGCTGCCAATTTTATAACCCTTATGACATAATTTGACGGGAGTCAGAATATAACCTTTTTTATTGATAGAAGAGCTAATCCTAGTAATTTTCTCCTCAGAATTTGTTTCTTAATTTACTTCATATTTTGATAATTAAATTACAATGGAATAAAACATTTGATTACAAACACTACTTAATGGGAGCATAAAGGTTTAGTTTAGAATAGTTGCTTAGCACTAAAAAAAAAACAAAAACAAAAAAAACATATACAAAGATACAGTTTTACTGGTATGTATTCGTTCTCATTGAAACCTCTCCTTCCCCACCTGCCCTCAATTCTTCATACTACTGCTGCTCTTTGAATGCCAAGCCATTAACTTCAATATCTGTTGTTCTTCAATTGCAGAATGGGCAGAGATCGCTGGACATCTTGCATACTGGGAGTGGTGATTAAAATTATTTAAAATCCCTGGAAATATTGGGCTTTTCACATTTCTTCTTTTTGTCCAAATAGGAGCCTCCATCCTGCTCTGAGACAGGCACCCAAAGAACTTTCCATGTAGGCATCCTTGCAAATAAATTGGCAAGGATTGGGGATGTTTTCTCTGTGTTGTTTTGGGGACAAATTAGCAAAGATGTCCCATTTTAAACAAATGTAATCTCCCTCCAGACAGACACACAATATATCCCCTCCTACTACAGTGATTATTATGCCACTGCTAAAATACTTTGCACTTTTGTTCCAGTATCATGTAACAAATATTAAGGAAGACTCCCAACGCCCATGTGACGTAGGCAAAATTATTTATTCTTCTTCTACTGTACAGAAGGAAAGTCTGAGGCACTTGAGGGTTGTAATTTGCTCAAGATCTAATAGTGAGTCAGTGACAGAACAGGGAACAGAAACCAGATATTCTAAGTTCTGGACAACAGACCTCATTTCCCTTTATAATGGCATCTTCAGCAGTGACTAGAGATACAATGCACCCTTCTCCCCTCTGGCCCCCACTGTGGGCATGCTTTTCTGAACCTTTGGAGGTGTATTTTCTCCCTGTCCTCGTCAGCATCCTTAGCTTCTCAGCAACCCAACTTTTCCCTACTCCCTCTCTTCTCAACCTCCAACAGGATCCTTGGCTTCTTTCTCCAAAGAAAAGTACAGGTTGAACCTCTCTGGTCCAGGACTCCCTGGGCAGCAACACCCTTAGTCTGGCAGGACCACAGATGTTGCTAGACCAGAGAGCCCAGCTGCAGAGGTTGAGAGCAGCTGGGAGCGGAGCTGGTTTGGTTGACGGCGGCCTGCAGGGGCAGTGACCTGGGTGTAGAGAGCCCTGCGAGCAGCCGCCACCATGCATGGGACCAGAGTCAGATAACCCCAGGAGCAGCTGCTGCCCCACATAGGGCTGAGGATAGGGAGCAGAGCCTCACAAGCAGGCTGGGGGCAGCAGACCCAGGCAGGTGAGCTGGAAGGGATCAGGTCTCTGGGTTCTCCTGGGGCAGCTGCCAAGAGGGAAGCCCTGGAATAGCCTGAATGTCTGACCTCCCCCGGTGCAGCATATTACCTTGTTCAGAGCCTCTCCAGTCCCGAGGGTGCCGGACAAGGGAAGTTCAACCTGTACTAGAACTTTTGAGTTTTGATCCCAGCTCTGACAGTGATTCGCTGGGCAGCGTAGCATTTATCGGTTCTGTGCCTCATCTTTTCAATAGGCAAAATGGGGAGAATCATACTTCTCTACTACACAACTAACTAGTTTAATATCTGCACAGTGCCTGATTTTTAGATCCACATTCTTTCACTAACATAAGCTGCAGCAGTAATTGAGGTCACCCAAGTTAAACAGAGTTATTAACACCATTAAAGCTCAGGACCATAAAACACTAAGTCGTAGGATTACAGTTATTGTGATTAGAAACAGTAGAGGGGGGTTCTTTCAAGAAGGGAGCATTTTCCCCGTCTCATAATGCTGAATTTGGGAAATACATGCATGCCCTTTGTCAGAATCCATGCCATCATAGTCAACACAGACTTATGACTTCACAGCAGAATCGGGCTGGAAGGGAAGCTTTTACTCCAGTACAGATGGCTTACATGAAAAGAAAAGGGAACCCAGAAACTTATTAATAAAGAAGAGTTCTCTAAAATGTACACTAGGGCTGTTAAAATGCATTTAATCAGGTAAAAGTGTAACCACATGCGGGGAGAGAGAAGGCAGCTCGTGGGGAACCAGACAACTCCTCACGCACACAGGCTCCTGCTTCCTCCCTGCCCTGCTGCAGGAGCGGGGAGTGGGGCTGTGTATAACCATGAATGTAAACCGTTTACATACATCACATCCCTAACAAACACCTTATGTCACCCTCAAGCTTTGCTGTTTATCCTGCTGCAAACATCTCAGTTTAGCACATTCATTTTAACAATACCTCCAGTGAAGTTAGATGGACACAAATAGATACACACACAATGAAAGCTAGCAGCAAACTGTGTGTAAAGTTTCCTGAACAGGCATGCAAGGCAAACAGCAACTGGAAAAATGCCACAAGTGATCCTGCCCTCAGTCTTCCTGTGTACGTAAAAAGTAACAAATGTTTGACCGATCACAGTTACTAGACTGATGCAAATGTTTACTTTATTGAGTCAACAACACTGAAATCTCTTCCCCGTGTGTAGGATTACTAGGTCATTGCACTGTAATTTGTTCTATGGTAGATATGTTTGATATGGTAACTTATCCTCACAACACAGTCTATTCAAAACCAGAGCTCACCTTTTATTTGCTGTTGACAATGCACCGAGCTGCATGAATCTGAGCTACCTTCAGTTTCTGTGGATGAATCATCGTCATCAATGTTAATTTCTTCTGTAATGATATCTGGCCCCAATTTAGCCATATACAACATGCTAATTCTTTTCAGGGTCTTATTTTCTTTATTCAACTGAAAAGCAAAGATACACACAGTATGTAGCTATAATTAAGGTTAGATTAACATATTGAAAAGAAAAGAAAACCCTCACTAAGTGTGTTCTGCTTCTTTGCTTTTTAACCAGAAGATTTGTCAATCATGCAGAAAGCAAGACAAAATGATACTACTTTACAATACAGCATGTAACACTAAAAATGGCCCCACCAACTGCTCTGATGTGATTTGGATCAGTAAGGTCCATTTCTTACTTCATATAAGAAATGTTTCTCTCTGGTACTTCTGGTGAGTGAAGATCCTAGATAGGCTCAAATCAAATTAACACGCTTACTTAAACCCTATATATTCTTTGTGATAGCTGCCTCAGCTCCTGCCTTTAACCTCACATTGGTATTAATGAAAGTGCTAATCCTATAGAAGTCATACTTAGCGTGTAATTATTTTCATGCCAGTGACCTAACATAATATATATGTAAGAAGACAGTCATAACACAGAATTGAAAACATCGAATGCACTATAGGTCATAGCCACAGGTCAGTGGTTCTCAAAGTGTAGTCCACAGACCACTAGTGGTCCACGACCACCTTGCAGGCAGGCCTATGGGCTCAGGGATCACCCCCACCCCCACATGCAGCAGGGAGCCTGCGTTGATGCTCCAGCCCCACTACCCCCCCTCTGCCCCCAGTAACATTGGAGCACCAGTGCCGGCTTCCCGCTGCAAGGCGGGGAGTAAGCCTCACGGGCTGGGTCTGGCTTGTGCAGGAAGGAACTGTGTGCTTCAGTTCCCCTCCACTTGCCTGGAGACTTTTCCCACTGCTCCCATTGGCCAGAATCACAGTCAATGGGAGGCATGGGGCCAGGTAAGCACCCCCCGTCCACCTCATGCCCAGAGCCTGGACTCCCTTCCCCTCCCACATCCTCCACCACCAAGTTCCCCCACCCTACTACTGCACCTTCCCTCCCAGAATCTCCACCCCGCTCTCGCAGCCGACTTCCCACCCTCAAGCGGCTCCTGAAACCAAACCTCCCACCCATACCCCCACCTTCAGCCTGCCGCTGCACCCAATCTTCCACCCAGATCCTCACCCCCCAACCCACTCCTGCATCCTACCACCCAGCCAGGCCAGTCCTCCCCGCACCCATTTTGTCATCACAGGCAGTTGGCTGGTGGTCCGTGGAAGGGTTTGCATTGTGCAGGGTGGCCACAGGCCAAAAAGTCTGAGAACCACTGCCACAGGTCTATGCCCGTCCCCAGTAGCTGGGCTGTATGCTAAGCAGATGAATGACTGGACAAACACAATGAAGCAGCTTACATGAACCCTGCCATGAAGTGAGTTGGTGGTGACTGGAAGAACTGGAGGATCCAGCTAGCTAAAAATTAGCTTAAGTCTCTCTCCCAGCCTTTCCTTGGTTGTTCCACATCTGTACTCTGCCTGCATGCACACAGGTCCCCAAAGCAAAGTTCCACGGTGCACAAAGGATGACATATGCCCATGTGACAACATCCAAGCACCTCTCTCTGTACCTATGGAGACTGGGCCCTGATCTGCCTCCAAGGACAACGCACCCTGGCCTATACAATCTGAGAAAATTCAGCCAGAGACCATCCATCCTCTGAGTAGAAGGATGTTACCTACTGTTACTGTACTGGGTAAAAGGTAAAGAACCCAGGATCCAAGCAAAACTCCCACCCATAACAATGGGAGGTTGGCTTTGAGCCTCTTCAAAACACATCTACCTTCCAAAGACTGAGATAAAGGAAGCAAAAGGAACCTTCCATGTTTTAATCAACACATACTAACAAGCACATCAGCCCCACTGGACAGTCCTCGTCTTCGGCCAGCCATATGTCACTATGTATGTTACACATCATGAACTGAGGAAAGGAAACTTACAGACACAAATTACTTTTCTTAGTTATATGCGGATTGACTACCTTATGAATTCTAATTCTGTGTCATTATGCAAACAATTAAGTAAATATCTCTGGAAAGTACATTGCTAATGCATCTAAATTAAACAGATTTCTTGTTGGTGTGATTTCTGCCACATCCGAAGAAGTACTTTGGGCAGACAAAAAAACCCAGCTGGCATTGCTAATGAAATTTGGTTCAAAATTGCTGTAATCCATTTTCTGATGAAGTGGCTCAGATGCATTTTGCACAACCAAAAATACATAACACAGAGATAAAAACATTCTTTAATAATAATGTACTTCTGATGAGATGGAATATAGAAAATTACACACTTGGTAAATTCATCAGACTAGATGCAATCAACAGAGCACTGAAGGTCACCTTTTGCCTGCCCTCGGTTAGCTTTCATGAACAATCACCTGAAATGTAATGCTTTGGCTGACTTTTTCATTTGATTCAGATACCGAGATGCTCATTATTCCTTTATGTCGGATGTGGAATAGTTTTAAACTTGTTTACCATTTAGCCCAAATGCATATAAAAATGGGCTATAAAAAGTAATGCTCAGTGAATTACTGTTATCTTGCTTGCTGTTCCAAAAACATAACTACACATACTTCTAAACAGAAGGCACCTTCCATCAAAACAACAAATATACTGTACAGTATTTCACACATGAATTACAGTTTTATCTATCTTAAAGCTATTTCATGTCCTAAAAGAAGGCAAACAGACATCTGCTGTGCTAACAGAGACTAAAAACCCTTCTTTCAGAATGAGATCATGAAATCAGAATTTAAATACAACTGAACTGTATTAATTGTTCTTACCTTAGAAGCCAAAGTTTCAGCACTTTCACGACAAGTCTTTTCAATTTCAAGGTGGTTCTGCATACAATTTACTTCTTCGATAACCATGTGAGAAACTAGAAAAAGGAAAAATGTTTCTTACTAAAAGTTTTTAAAAACTAGTCAGCTGTAATTGACACACTCATCCTGTGATTATGACTACACATCACTCACTTTTAAAAATGGTATTGCTAATTCCGAAAAGCACAGCCTGTATGAATGCATGTACAGTGGAAAGATTATGAAAACAGAATAAGAGATATACTTTGTAAGCAACATTCAGATTAACAATCATGCTAGCAATAAAATTATAGAAACTACTCATCAGTAAAAAGCATGTCATATAATGGATAGAATTTTTAAGTCCAGAAGAGAAAATGTTGGCAATGATCATTATGTATTCATTTTATTGTAATGGCACACAGGAGCTCTAATGGGACCAGAACCAGGAATGTTAAGAAGTGTGTAATTCATTAATTGTGCAGTTGACAAAGTTTTTGTCAACTACACGATTAATTGATAAGGGTTAGTCCTGCAAGCACTCAGTCCCGGCTCATGCCAGGTCCTGGGAGATACCTCTGCTGCAGCTCTGCATTAGAAGTATTTTATGAACTGGGCAGGCAGCCGGGGAGCAACCCAGCTTAGTCCCAGGAGTTGCCCTGCAGTGCAAACCAGGCTGCCTGCCTGCCCAGCTCCTAAAATATTTTGAATGCAAAGCCGCAGCAGGGGTAGCTCCTGGGACCCGGTGCAAGCTGAAATTGAGCCAGGCTGCTGGCCAGACCTCTAAAAAAATTTACTGGGGAGGTGGAGAGGGAGTGTATGTAGTTGATAGCATTAACCAATAAGCTTTTGCTTATTGGTTAATTGTTTAATCAACTATACTATTACATCCCTAACCAGAACTTCATAATACTAGGTGCTGTACAAAGAAAAGTAAGGGAAGGTGAGGGAGAGTGCATCCCTGACCCAAAGTATGAGTTTGTTCAGACCACAGGGCACTCACATGGAGTAGCACCTTACTCCACAAGCATGCTCACTAAATTCAATGAGACCATTCAAGGTATAATGTAGAATTCTGTTACTGGATGAACAATACACCATAAAAGCCATAGGATGGGCATGCAACACAGCATAATGAATACTGCTGTTGAAACTTTTAACTTTGGCATTTCCTGACTTAATTTTATCTGTGCAATCAGAACGATGCAATAACAAAGGTTTTTATATTTTAATTATTACTGGGGGGTTGCGCTCCTTGCTTGTTATGCTCATTAATCCCCTCCTCCCTCCCCCCCCCAACACCCACACCCACACGCGGATCTATTGGCTTTTGCGGCCAGAAAGTGAGAGAACTATGCTCACCAACCGTCCTCTCTTTAGGGGTAGGTGTCTGCCCAGGAGTGGGGAAGAGGATGCAGGAGCAGGAAGGGTGCAGGAGTGGGCTGGGGTTGCAGACTCTCAGCAGGGTGGTGAGTGAGCAGGCTCGGGGCGTGGGGTCTTGGTGGAGGAGGTATGTTAGGATGCTGGGGGTGCAGGGTCTTGGCAGTGGGTGTGAGAGGGGGCTCAGGGTGCAGGGGCTCAGCAGGGTGTTGAATGAATGGGCTGGGGCCACGTTGGCACTTCAGCCTGCCCCTCCAAGCCAAAACCGCATACCCCCCATCCTCCTCACTCCGAGCCCTGCAGACAGCCTCTTGGAGCACATCCCTGCGCTGCTGTTCTCCTATACGGGAAGGGAAGCAGCAGCCTCAGTGCTTTCTACCCTCCCCCCTCTGGAGGGAGCCCACACATGTGCCCACCATATGGGCTCTGCCCTGACTCTTCAGCCCCCCAGCTGCTCCTCACTCCCTGCCCCCAAGCTCCAGGCCTATCTACACAGACTTGTGAGGAGGTTGTGCTGCCAAAGTGGTGCAAGCAGGACCTCAGGTGGGACGGAAGGTCCTGAGGGGTAATCTGTGGCCCTGCCACCCCGACCTTAGCAGGAGAAGGCAGCAGGCAGGATGGGCAGGAGCCTGCCCCTCTTCCTCCCTAGGCCACGCTTCCTTCCTCCTCTTGGGCTTTTTTGGGGGGGTTGATTTTCCTTTGCACATGTCAAATCCCAAATGTCTCCAGGCCGTGCAGGAGCAGTAGCCACTCTGCACTCCTGGCATTTCAGAGCAGTGACTCTGCGCTCTGGCAGCAGCTCCAGCCCCAGGTTGCACACAGCGATGCCCCCCAAGGTCTGGCTCCACAGCCTTTGCCTCTCTCGGGACAACAATCCCCTCCCTCGTTCCTTCCCCCACCTCCAGGCTGCAGTGGAAGCCCACAAATCCCGTTTGCCGGCTCCCCTCCCTGCCGAAGATTCCTGCCTCCGCCTCCCCAAACTCCTTCAAACTTTCCCTGCCACAGTAGGGACAAGATCAGTTGGTGGGGACAGTGCCTGTAGACACCGAGTGACATGCTGCCGTCACTCTGTCATCCCACAGGAAACGGTGGTGGTTTTTTTTTTTGTTTGTTTGTTTTTAGAGAGAGAGATTTATGGCTGGAGTTAGTACAGTGCCAGGGACAGAGAGAACAAAACAAAGACTTTACAACCTGTGCACCTAGTCCTGCAAAGATATACATAGTGGGGATGTTAGCATGTACTCAGGCTTATCAGCTATTCCTAACAGTTACATAGCACTCCTGCGTAGCTGCCTGCGCCCTGCACTGCTGCCTCTGATGAAGAGACAGCAGCACTGGGGAGAAGGGCACAGGTGGGAGCCGGTACATGCAGAAAGCTGGTTTTCAAGCCAGCTCCCTGTGTGTACCGGCTCCTATGGAGTTGTCCTTCCTCCCTCTCCCTTCACGGCCTCTATATCAGAGGCAGCAGCGTGGGAGGGCAGGTGGGAGCCGATACAGGTGGAGAACCGGCTTAGAAGCCAACTCCCCACGAGCACCAGCTCTCGCCTGCCCCCTGCGCGTAAACATATAACTGCTAAACATTTCAGCAGTTTCACAAATACATGATTTTTAATATCCCTAATATGTAGGTAAACCCCCAACAGGCACATAGATCCCTTGGTGAGACCGGAGAGCCTAAAATCAGACACAGTGATGATAGTAGCACACATTGGAAAGATCCACATTAGAACCGCTGAGATTATTTCAGAATGATTGTGAAATAGATCATCTGGTTTCTTACATGCTTATATGGTCCCCAGAACCCTGGCATCTAAGCATCTCACAATGTATAAATGTATTTACCCTCAAACCTCACAAATAGGGAAGTAATATGATCCTCGTTTCACAGAGGAGGAACTGAAGCACAGAGTGATTAAAGACCACAGATGGCAGTTAGGTCCCTAACTCCCATTGACTTCAGTGAGAGTTAAATACCAACCATAATCTAGTGATAGAAATGTAGCCGTGTTAGTCTAGTGTAGCTGAAACAAAATACACGATTATGTAGCACTTTAAAGACTAACAAGATGGTTTATTAGATGATGAGCTTTCGTGGGCCAGACCCACTTCCTCAGATCAAATAATGGAAAAAAATTGTCACAACCAAATATACCAATTGTGACAATTTTCTTCCACTATTTGATCTGAGGAAGTGAAGTGGGTCTGGCCCACGAAAGCTCATCATCTAATAAACCATCTTGTTAGTCTTTAAAGTGCTACATAATCGTAATCTATGGCTTAGAAAATCCCCTCTTCTAAGTGAGTTGCCCAAGATCACACAGGAAGTCTGTGGCAGAATAGGGAACTGAGTCTGGGTCTCTCTAGTCCCCAGGTTAGCATCCTAATAACTGTCCCATCTTTATTCTAAGGGCTTAATTTTGACACCTTCTAGTGTACTGGGACTCTGCAGCCGACTATGCTGGCTTATTCCTTTCCTTGCACAGAAAGGAATCAAGATTTCAATAAGAAAACAGGACCACTCACAGAACACAACATCAGCTAGAGTGGCAGAATTTAGCTTGAAGGGAGGAAAACTGGAAAATCCATTCATAGTATGTATTGCCAGAGGGACAGAGAGTTAAAACTTACAGATTCATACACTAAAGAAATAGGGGTATTTTCTCACCAGAACAAGCTTGAGAATAGTGATTGGAAACATATTTTCATGCCATGCAGCTCATTACACAGATATAAAACAAGTTAAAAATTGGAACAGGCACTACCAGTGCCCAGATACCATACACTACACCGATTAAACAGTTTAGGAAGACAGCAAAGCACTGTCAGTTGAGAAGTTTCACCATTATTTTACAAATGTGCTTTTAATAATGCTATGGAGTCAATAATACAAGAACATTTTGTTTTGAAATGTAAAGTAACTTGGAAATTATGGGCCAAGTATGTGGCTACAGGTGGAAGGCAGGTCACACAAGCTGGGACAAAGGTGACTGTTTTAAGTCACCTCGACATTCCCTGATTCTGGGACCACTATATGTGCAGGGTTCATTTTCCAGGAAAAATCAAAGTTGCCCTTAGTCTGCTCTAATTTCTACTGACCACCAGCAGCCTGAAAAGGCCAGAACAACAGCTGGATATTTGCAAAACATCGAGGAAACCTGTCCAACAACCTCTACCTATCCTCAGATCATATTCCCTAACTTGGCAGTAGAGAGAAGAACACCACAAGTCTCTCAGTCCCTGTGGAACTGCCTATGCTGGAGTGATCTTTTGTGGCTAGTTATGCTTGCTTTACAGAAAGACTACACTACTGATATGGAGCAAAACAGCTGCCCTTCACTGGAGGATGTGGAGGAACATATTTTAGAGAGGGAAACTAAAGAAATTGACTATTTGTGCTTTTTCTTTTGTTGTTGTTGCATCATAAACTCAGAAATCGAGACGGATGGACATATTGTAAACCCATCAGGACAGAAAGAACCCTAGCTAAAATCCTGCATGCGAAACTAGTTAAAGTTAGAGAACAAGGAACAGGTCAGATAGTACAACTAGAGATTACTCTTGGTTCACTTAAGCTTAATTAACCCGCAATTATGATTAAACTCAGGGAAAAAATTCTCTCCAAATTAAACACAAAAATATATTACTTCCTAAGTCTGCCCAAAGTTCTTATTATGTTAATATTAAAATTCATAAAGCAGCACTAAGTGGCCAGAAACATCTCTAACCTTGACGTTTTTTCAGGGGTAATAATAATCTGCAGCAAATGCAGGCCAGCCAAAAACCACTTAACTAATTAGTAGTTGCAGTCACCGAGAAAACATGAATCAACACTGTTATTACAAGTGGCACATTTGAGTGGCATCTAATTATGACTTGATGAGCACGATACTTGCATTATCAACATTACTACTGCATCCCATCAGGGACTAAAAGCTGCTGATGGCATTGACTGCGAGAAACTCCCACTCAATGGTACAGCAGCACCCAACAATCTCCTTGGCAGGGGCACCCTCACTAAATGACACGTTAAGCGTAATTACTGGTAGACATTGTAAATAAACAGGATTGGAAGTGAAAATTGTACCAAGTGCATAAGACACAATCTGACACATTGGAAGTGGCAGCCTTAATTGAGAGTTTCTTTGACTGCTCAAGATCATTTCAACTGCATTTCTCGGAGGACAGTGATTATAACTGTGGAGACAGACGGCATAATGGTATCAGCACTGCTGACAGAGCAGTGAATTAAATTGTATCTGCTGTTGTGTGAAAGCCTTGATGAGAGGTACAGATCCTTAGTGGTCTTATCATTATAACACAATGGTCATGTTGTCATCAACCTTGCTGGCTCCAATTGAAAAGAAATGATTGTGTGTTGAAGCTTGCCCCCCCACCACCATCTTCTATCTCTTGTGCTGAATAGAACCAATTTTCAGAGAGCTATGAAATCACGCAATAGGGCCTAAAATGCAGCTGCTTGGCATACAAACGGGGCCCCATTAAACTGGAATCACACACAATATGTGTTTATGCCAGGAGAACAAATAGAAGCTGAGTACAGGCCAAGTTTATTCACAGACACAAAGCCGGTGTAGCTCTTCATCAATATAATTGCCTTTTATATTGTCATTTAAATAATGGGCTCTATTATTGCCTTAAAATCCTAATATTCCTGGCATTTTATCACTGTGTTTACAAGGTATGTTCTTTAAAAACCTAAAAGGAAGATAAAGGAAACCTATAAAATTTTTACATCCAGTATTACTTTGAATTTTAAACCTTAACTACTTGACATTTTTGCCACTCTCTGGTATTCACAGTATCGTAAAAAAATAAAAAAGCAAGAGTCTGCAGTTTTTTCCACAGGAATGATTATTTAAGAACATCCTTCCGTTATGAAGCAAATATACAAGATCATTTTAGGTGAGTAAAGGTTATCATTTTTAGATTAATTTGCTATAATATATTTATGAGCAATTATGCCCCCCCCTCCAAAAAAAAGTTTAAATTAAACTTAGTCTCACACAGCATATTTGTGTGTGTGCTTTCCAAATCCTGTATTCCTAATGCTCATCATGCATTGACATAAAGCAGATGTAACAGACCAAAATCCTATTTTAATGGTCCCTTATGAGGAGCTATTCCACTAGGATACTTCCACTCCCATTAGCTGTGCTTTGTTAGTTCTCGACACTATACAGTGTCAATAGAACCATTACCATAAAAAGTGTAAAATTGGATCGTGACATTTTTCACAGGATAAAATAGGACTTGCTATAAAAATTACCAAGGGACTGTGGTGTATAGTACTAGAATGCTTTTATGCCATTTCTCTTTTACCAGCTTGACTCACTTCCCTCTACACACAAAAAAAAAACACAAAAAAAACCCCCCAAAAAAACACACCACACGCACACACCACCACTACTCAGTTTACATGGGTACAACTATTCAGTTTACATGGGTATAATTCCAGAGTAATTCAACTGCGTTATACTGGGGAGACAAAGCAGAATTTGGCCAGTACGTTTTGAGAGCTTCCCACCTGAAGATGGCTTAACTGAGTTCACGGATTGAGTCAACAACTGCTGTGCTAGCATTTAACCTGATGCAAGCTGAAATGGTGTGTGATAAACCTCTTTAAAACTGGGCTTTGAAGGAGAAAATGCAATTGAACCTGAACTGCTGCATTGTCCATGGTGCACTGTGAAGCCAAGTGTTATTCTTGTAGGTCTTACTCTAAGAGTTAACATTTCCATTGAAAAAGCCTACTTACTTTTTTGAAGCTCTTCAAGTTTTCTGAATGCCTCATCTCGCTCTTGTTTAATTTTGTCACACTGCATAAGGGAAGAGAAAATAGGAATTCAAGAAGAGCTGCAAACATAGTTGTATAATTAATTGTATGTGTAATATTCATATAAAACCCTAGGAAAGAGGGTTAAGAAAGACAAGGAACCTATACACCCATAGCTGTTTTGCCCTCAGCCCCTAAAGATCTGTGAAAAGTAAGTTGTTTCCTGAGATGTTTGACATCACAGCTGACTAGAGTGCAATCAGTCTTGTTTCTATACTGTAGTGTTACTGAAATGAGCACAGCTAGTCTGCAATTATTTTAGGAGTGTCACTTTGTCCGAACCAGGTGTCAGTAAATTCTAGCACACATTTTACAATCATAGAAGTAACATTAATGGCATGTGAAATATACCGTATATTTATCAGCAACACCATCTACTTTTTTGCACTTTTTCCTTGATTTCTGTACAAATCTCTCTCACTTGGGGGATTTATACTGCTGCCCATCCCCACAGCACCCGAGTGCTTTCCATGTAAACTCAACAGCAATAGTGAATTCCCTAGTGCACTACATAAAGTCTTTGGCACCTCTCTCTTTTTGGTAGAAAAACCATTCAAAATTGGCATGGCGGTGGAGAGGTTGCGGAAATAATTAAAATCTCTCTTTGGGGGTTGTTTCAGTTTTAGAGCAGAAGAGATGTGAGTGTTCTGAGTGTCATTCTTATGATGGAAATTCTTTTTAAAAGGAGAAGAATCAAATGAACACTTAATTGGTAACTTGCCACTACAGCTTTCACAACTCCATATAATAGATGTAATTCCAAGAAATAATGAGCACAGCTCATATGACACACACTGTAAGTGATCATCCAAATCATGGAAAACACATGACTGTATGAGGAAGAATGACACCATTACAGAGAGAACTTCATGAAATCTTTCCACATAACATCTCTTACATGGCCAATGGAAGTAGGCAACATTCTTATAGCTGTGCTGGTCCCAGAAGATTAGAGACACAAGGTGAGTAGGTTATATTTTTTATTGGACCAACTTTTACTGACAAGAGTCATAACCTTTTGAGCTTATATAGAGCTCTTCTTTAGGTTTGGGACAGAACAGCTCTGTGTAAGCTTCTCTCTCTCATCAACAGAAGTTGGTCCAATAAAAAACAATAACCCACCCACCTTGCATCCTGAATGCTCAATGTAAGTACATTCTATCTCACAGGTAGGACTGCAGTAACTAACGATGGAACGGATTCACCAAATCAGTATCCTTACAGTGTAACTACATCTCCAGATTTCATGTTAAACATTTCAGATGATCCTGCCAAATTAAAAAAATATATTTTTGAAAATAAATTGTGTTTCTATTTTCAATTTCCTCACTGGGGACCCCACTTTCAGACAACTGAACGTGGAGCTCACAGGAACAAAGGGCCTGATCCAAAGCAGACAAAAGAAAATTGGAATCTTTCCATTAACTCCAATGGGCTATGGATCAGGCCATTCCCACTACTCAGCTGAGGGGGAAACCAGGGAGAGAGCTAGGCCTCAGCAAAGGCTGCAGAAGCCACTTTTGGGGGCATCCTATGAAAAACATGAGGAAAAGGAGCTGCAATGAGCAAGCAAGTGCCTATCTCAGTGAAAGTAGCTGCAGGGTGGGGAGGGGATAAGATCCTGCCTCCCACCTCCCCCTACCCCCCCTTCTTGCAGCAGGGTCAGCTGATGATGAGGAAAGTAGTGAAGCCAGGAAGGGGATGAAGAAAGCAAGCTGCAGGGACTGGCAGAGAGCTGGGTGGGGTTGGCAGTTTCTCCATGTAACTGTAGGTTGCTGGGAGAAAAGCAGAGGGGAGAGAATAACCCGCCCTAAAGCAGCTAAAGAGGGAATGAGGGAAAATGGATGAAGCATTGTCTGGGTACCTTAGGGGGTTTTATTTATACGTAATGGCCAGGGGTGGCAGTTTTATAGAAATTTTGGTGGGTGGTGCTCTGAATGCCCAGACTGTACCCCTCCCCACCCAAGCTCCCCCTCACCTATCTAAGGCCTTAGGAGGGAGTTTAGATATGGGAGAATGTTTGGGGTGCAGACTTGGGCACAGAGTTTGCGTGATTTGTTTAGGCATTGGGCTGGGCACGGGATTGGGGTCCAGGCTCTGGGAGGGAGTTTAGGACAGAAGTGGGTGCCCAGGAGAGAGAGTATGGGGGTGCAGGGAATTTGGAGGTAGGAGGGGATGGAGTGGGGGAGGGTGCAGCACTTAACTGGGACGCTCTCTCTGGCAGCGGCTCTTACCATGTGTGCTGCTGCCTGCACGCACCGCGTTCACAGCTCCCACTGGCCACAAGGAACACCCACCTCTCACTGGAGCTGCAGGGATGTGCTGGCAGCTGGCACTCTAACTCCGCTGTGCTGCCGGTGGTGGTGGCAGGGGCCCCCTGGGACATTTTAGATTGCGTGGGGTGGCAGGTGGAGCCAGGGAGAGACCCAGCGAGGAATGTAAATTCCTGGTTAAAAAGTTAACTGGTTAAACACTATATCTGGGGGCATCCTAGGAAAAACCATGAGGAATAGGAGCTGCACTGAGCAAACAATTGCCTCTCTCAGTGAGTAGCTGCAGGGGAGGGGATCAAATGCCTCTTGCAGCACAGTCAGCTGCTTCTGATGAAGGTAGTGAAGCCAGGTAGGGAATGGAGAAAGCAAGCTGCAGTGACTGTCAGGATGAGGTTGGTACCTTCTTCTTGTAACTGTTGGTTGGAGGGAAGCAGAGAATAACCAGTCCCAAAGCAGCTAAAGAGGGAGAGCCAGCAAGGGGGAAAAGGCTGAAGCACTGTCTGTGTACCTTAAGTCACATGGGCAGCAGGCTGCTCCAGCCAGGCTGGGCCACCAGTTACCGGGTAAGCATGCCAGTATGGCTACTTACTGGGTAACTGGTTAAACGTTTACATCACTAGTCCCAGAACTAAATATTGCTAGAGTAGGGCTCACAGGCTAGGAATATTCCTGGTTCCTCGACACCATGAGCCCATAAAACTCACTTCTCTGATAATGGCTGAATGTTTTCCCCAAAAAAGGAAGAGAGGGAGGGAAGGGAAAGGAAAGGAAAGCAACACCTCAGTTTCTATTTACTAATAATTAATCTAACATCTTGTTGCTTCTTCCCCTCCTCTCAGTTTTTGCAGCAGGAAGCTTCTGTCCTACCTCACTTTAGGAGAGCGGCCTAGAGAAGGGAAGTGGAGAAAAGCAAAATAATTTTTGTATCTTTTTTTTAAAACTGCTGTTTCACTTGTCACCCTCATTGAAGAGCAACACTGCCTTGCACAGGGATTCTGTGTGATCTACTCTTAGCTAATGATTAATACTGTAGAGCAACAGCACATTGTACTGCCACACTTCATCCATGGATTGCAAAATGCTTCACAAGCTGTTTGCCTCAACTCCCAGGGAAGCATTATTACTGGAGTTGTAACTATGTAAAGAGATTAAGGGCCTGATCCAAAGCCTAGTGAAAACAATGGAAGTCTTGCAATCGAATTTAAGGGGAAGCGGTTTGGATCCTTTATAACTTGCCCAAGGTCACACTGAGTCACTGCCAGTCAAGATTAGGACCCAGAAGTCCCAATACAGTCTCTGGCTCTAACTGCTAGATAAAACACCCTCCAAATCTTGTAATGAGAAGCTAATGGCCCAGTCCTCCAGACTTTCTCTCACAAGGCCGGTCTTTGCATACGCAGTCCCACTGAAGCCTACTTAGACATATATATTCAAATGTGTGTAGTTCTAAGGCAAATCTTTACACACACAAGTAGTCCCACTGAACGCAATGGGATTACTCACGTGCACTGTTAGTCATATCTGTTTGCAGGATTGAGACTGCAGGCTTGACTCCTAACTCTGCAAACAATTTCCATCCTAAGTCATAATTCTCTCAAGATTTCATTTGTTGCTGCTGTGCCTCATGACAAAGGAGGTTTTACCATTGATTTCGGTGAGGGCAGCATTGAGCACACTGACTTCAACCATGCAACCAGATCTACACAGTTAGTCCCTCCACAGCCAGATTCAATCCCCTCAAAGTCCCATTGAATTTATTATGTAGATCATTCCATCTCCCCTGCCCCACTCCGTTTCTTAAAATGAGGAACAAAAACTGTCTTCATTTACTTGCTTATAATTCATTTAAATTAGCTAATCAACCTTGTGTTTAAAAGAACACCACACTTAATTTTGGACATCAAATCTAAAACTGACAGTTGCTTCCAAAACTACTATTGTTTCTTCAGGGTAAGCAAAACAAAAAGTAAAATAAAATAAAAAACACAATAACCTTGTTGAAAGAGAAACATTAAAAATACATACTTTATGTTCATATCAATAGGCATCAAATGCAAGAACAGAAGTACATAAGATTACCATTAATGTGTAAAGTCTATCACTAATTGTAATTATATAAGACATTATTGTGAAACAAGTTTAAAGTAGTTCACCAAACTTTCCACTGTCAGTATTAACTAACATTTCCCATTTAACAGTTAGGGCTGCCAGATGGTTGAAGCAAAAAAAAAATCCCAAACATGGCAGGAAAAAAACTGGTTGAGGGAAACAACAACAACAACAAAACAGGAGACCAACCAAAGTTGTTAAGCAAAAAAAAATAAAATAAAACAGCATGTCCCCTTTAAGAGTGAGTGCAGGGATAGGAATAGGGGAGAAGTTGAGCACTAAGACACAGGGGAGTCATTGCTTCCCCTTGGTCTTTTTGCCAGCAGCCATTTTGTGCCGGCAGCCTTGAGGAACCAGGTAAGCATGGGGGCTGGGGTCAGGAGGGCTCGGGGGGAGGACGAGGGAAGCCGGGCGCTGAGTTTGTAGGGTTTAAATTTGTGCCAGGCGTGTTTGTAGGGTTGCCAGGTGCCCGGCATTTTCGCCTCCTGGCTGGGGGGCGGGGCGGGGGGGAAATCAGAAAATACCGGACATCTTAGGTGTCCGGTATTTTCTGAATTTTTTTTTTTTAATCAGAAAGGAGGCGAAAATACCGGACACCTGG